ATTTCAAATTTGATATTGAATATATTAAAGGAAAAGCTAACTTTCTTCCTGATTATCTTAGTAGGGATGGAGCTAGAACAACTAAGGACGAAAGTCCAAATACTTGAGATAAAAGTTTCCTATTTGAAAACCCAAATTCAAAATATCCAAGATAGCCTTCGAGGCAAAAATATAGCCCTAGAGGCAGAAGTTACTTGTACCAAGACTAGTATCCCTTTGCAGGGACTTGTGAATACTAGCGCTCTCCCCGAGGATAAAGGGAAAGAAAAGAAGGTAATAGGAACCTCTTCACAGGGAATACTCAAACCTGTTACTGGTAAAAAAGATATTCAAGATATCAAAAGAGAAGGTAGCTCTTCTCAGAGCCAAACTCAATCTAAAGTTTCAATTGAAAGAATAGATCCCAAAGATATTGTCAAGATATGCCATGAAGCAAAAATGCCCAAAAAAGATAACTATGAAGAAGTAACACTCTTTATTGTTATTTTCAATATTTTATCAGATTGGTATCTGGAGATTGGTAAGTGGATGAAGACTCTCCACTACTCAAAATACAACAAGATAAATTTTTATCCAGGAGCACCAGCCAATTGGGTTCGAAATTGCTTTGAGATATGAAATATACTCTGTATATATTCTAGTAAAGATCTCAAAGAGATAGCTCAGCTTCCAGCCAACATCAGGAAAGCTGTTAAAAGATATACTGAAGTTGTCAAAACAACAAATATTTATATCAGATTCCATTCAGCAACCATGGAGTGGGATCCTCTTCTTGAATATATGCATCCATCTTTCCATGTGATCAAAATGGGAATCACAAATCAACATTTTTTACCAACTAATCAAAAGGTTGTTAAAAATGGATATCAAAATATCCTAAATATGATGCCCTACAGGCGAGCAAAAGGGTATAAAGAGATATTTGAACATGTAACTCAAATAATTACTGAGAAAGAAAAAATATGGGTTTATCCATCTGAAGATCATATTATCTATTCCAATGCAAGGATGGATACCAAAGAAGAAGATATTTGTTATCTTGATCATTTATTATCTGCAATTATATCCAACCAAGTGCACGAATCAGAGGATATGGCTAAAGAATTATGCAAATTACTTTGGAATTACAGTGATCACCACTGTGAATAATGTGTTGTTGAAGATATGAGTCAAGCATCCCTTAATGATGAAGAATTCCCTACAGAATTCTTTGATTCGAAAATGGAGAAGTGATGGTGACTAAAGTAGCCCTTTATCACTACTTTAATAAAGAAATTTATTAAAGAAAAACTGTGGCTACTAGAAGACAGAAGATAATACAAGAAAAGTCTCTATAATTGTAACTACTCCTCACCAATAGTTACAAGTGGCAGACAAACTCAAAAGATAAGGCATCTAATTTCAAAAGAAGAGGTCCACCCAACAAGAAGACAATGAAGAATCCGGTGGAGATAAGATGGCCTAGCTACCCAACAAAAAAAAAAAAAAAAAAAAAAAGAAGGAAAACACCTGTCCAAGATAAGATTCCAAAATCTCCTATAAAAGGGAGCATGAAGGAAGGAAGGAGATATCTCGAAATAGCTTATCTCTTAAACACATCTAAGAGAAATCTTTTGTAATCTGTATACACTACTTGTATTCAGAAAAATATTAGATAGTTTGAAAATAGGAAAGCGTGTAATAAGGTAATCACTTATGGAGTTCTAAACTTCATAAGATGAGTACCAAAGGTATGTAAATATAGTTTGTAAGCATGTACAATTTCAGTTTATGAATATTAAAGTAAAGTTTGTCATGTTCAACAAAAAGGATTTCGTTAAGTTTCTCATGATTCCTCGGCAGTACAGATAGAGATTTTAAAAGATTTTCAAAACTTTGATTTTGAATGGATGTTAGCCATGTCAAAGTACCCGTATTTGATGAATGGTTAGGGGAAAAGGCAGTTTTCTAACAAAAATTTGTAGCACCTTATGTGTGAGTTATCTTTTAAAATTTTGTTCCAAGTAAGAACTTGATTCTGAAAAGAGTTTGGATAAAGGTGAAAACAGAGACTCTGGATACTGTGAGATAGCGTCTGTGGAAACACGGCTAGTTCTCTAGAATGAGAAATGCAACCTTAATTGAAAAGCCTTTTTGCGAAAGCAGTTGTGGACCCAAATGATTTCAAAAACATTTTAAATCTTTACTTGATTCAGAAGATTGATTAAGTACATGCAAATCATCTATAAGAGCATACTGGAGGGAAAAACTGTTTATTTCCACTTGATTACTGTAAGTTATTTACTTATTTTACATGCTTATGCTTTAATTATTCCATGAACAATTCACAAGCATCCACTTCCACTACTACTGATGATAAAAATCTTATTTTATTTTTAGATGAAAAAGATGTTTCGTTTTTATTTAAATTAGATGAAAAATAGGATGATATATTCCCTGTTGGTAAAGAAAAAATTGAAGAAATATATAGAGATATAGATTATAGCTGTAAAAATAATATAGGATTTGACTCTGTGATAACTTATAAAGAAATAAGAAAAGTAGAAGATATTATAACCAAACATAGAAATATACAAGAAGAAATTTCACAAGGTTTAGTTTGAGGATATATAACTAAAAAAGGACAACCTATAATCTTTGAAGAACTAACAAGATATAGAGAATATTTAAAAATGTTCAAAAGATTAAAAAATATAGATATAGAGCCTGATTGATAAATTTTTAAAAGACATAAGATAAATCTTGCAAATAATTTCATTAAGGGTAAAATAGTACTTTTAATAGGAAAGGCTATTATGGAAAAAAGGAAGAATTCTCCAGCCATTCTCAAAGTTATCCCCTGTTTTATTATGTTAATACTCGTGACAATTATATGTGCTACAATGAATCATTTGGTTAATTTTTGTTTGACCCTTTTTTTTTAATTAGTCTAGCTTAAAAAAAAAACAAAACAAAACAAAACTTTCACTTCTCAGTTCATTATTTATTTACAGCAGTTGAAACACACGAGAAAGAACGAATTTTTCCCGTTGGTGATTAAATTAGTAAAAACTAAAATAGTAGACAGATATATCGATTTATCTTAATTTATTGTGTCCAATTCCAAGTACCGAAGAACCACGAATTCAAAATTATAGCTTGGTATTTATTGCATAATAATTGGAGTAGTTAGATACAGATAAGAAAATGTTCTAAATCTCAATAGGAATGACAAAAAAACTCGTTCAACCAAGTATCATTGGAGACCCGTCCACCCGCCTAATCGGGTAAACGAGGTTAGTACGAGACGGGAGTCATTGCCAGGGTATGTAGTAGGCATGGGACTCATAGTTCCCGCCCATTTAATGTTAATTTCAAATTTAATTTTTTTATCAAACAAAAATTAAAAATCTATCATCATTTTTAAAGAAAATGAATTGTTTTCAACAATTTTTTTAAAAAATGTGATATTTACTAACAAAGACATAAAAAATAAAATAAATAAAAAACAAAAAATAAAAATAAATTGGATGATAAATGGGGCAAGGGACCTACCTCTCCCCACTCCATCCCGTTCTGCTTTAATCGCGTATGGGGACGGAGAAAGATGACAAAAATACCTGCGAGATGGGAGTGAAAATGACCTATCCATCCTATATCCGCTCCGTTGTCATCCTTAAATCTCAACATACTTTGGATATTTTCAGGCATTTGGTGAATTTACTAGCTAAATTATTATTATTTACTAACATTAGGTTTTGATATGAAGGGTTCATTTCAATTCATTTTACGACAACATATCAAAATTTTTAATTATCAAAAATCTCTGCTAGTTGTAAGAGATATTATTTGTGATTATCTTATAAACATTCAAATCACTTGTTATCTATGTATCTCGAATGACTCATAGATATTTATTCAAGTCTTCACTAAGGTGGCCCAAGATGAGAAGATGTTAAAAGTTGCATTAATTACGTAAAAATTTTATTCTGAATATCAGACAGAATTACACTAATTACATAAAAACTTTATTCTAAATATCACAAATGTACTGCTTTGTGGAGTTTCAAGAAGAGGCTTATCTATGAACAACTTCATTGTTAACCTAAAAACAAATAACTCCTCACTATAGGAATGACAACGAGGCAGATTAGGGTCATGTCGCCATGTCCTTTCCCTGCCCCATTTACTTTCTTTCTTTTTCTTTTTTTTTTTTAAATTTTTTCTTTTTCATTCTTTTAATTTTATTAATTGGTGAAAATTATTATTTGTTTTCAAATGGAAGAAAAATCCATATTTTCTTAAGAAATGATGATTTTTTTTCTCTATATGTGACAAAAAACTCGTATTTTAAAATGAACTTTAAATGGGTTTGGTATGTTCCGTCCTCCGTCTCAGGAAGACGACCCCACCCTATTCCTACTCCGTGTACCAATTAGGCGAAGAATCTAGAACGGGACAGTGCCACGAGCATTGGGTACAACAATTTTTTATTTTTTTTTTTATTATTTTTTTTTATGCCATTCCTACTCCTTAGGTAAAATAAAATAAGGATCTAGTTATTTATGAAAAAATATATTCTCACTATAAAAATTGCTAAAACTTCGAGTTAATCGTTCCAAAAATAACTGAAGTTTGGGTTGAATCACGAAACCTCATTGCATTATAAAAGTTGCTGAAATGTAACTGACCTTTGTTAAAATGCTCTCCATCCATAACTCGTTAAGATTTCATAAGTTGACTACAACGGAACTATGTAGCAAACAAAATTCATACATGGCACAAATTGCCATCCACTTCTCCCAACCACTGATGGTTTAAGAACATTTTTACAACATTTTTGTTCAGAGAGATTCCGTGACTTGACCCAAAGTACAGTAATTTTCCAAAACGATTAACCCTCGAAGAAATATTCAAGAAACAAAAATAAAGTGAAGAAAGAATAAAGGTTTTTTCATCGGCAATCAGCTCATGTCTGGCGGCATCACCGGATGAAATTGTTATCGGTAATCATAAAGCCCTATAATACCGCATTCAACTTTATATTTATTTTGAAAGAAAAAGGGAAGTGATACAGAGGGAGAGAATATAAGACTTCAAATACCAGCTATAATCAAGAGAGAACATAATCTTACAATCAATTCTTTCGCCTAGAAAGCTATCTACCAGCAGTGGAGACAAATACCTTTATGTATATTTCTGATCCGACAGAACAAAAAATCAATGCAAGGTTGTCAGCGCCTGCTGACTTCCTCGCGAAATTGACCTAAAACCCTGCAGCAAATCAGTTTAGTGTCCTCCAAAATGGGTCACAACGCAGATAATTGAACTGAGGCCCCTAAGAGACATCAGGGATTGAACTGTGTGTCTATGCAGAAATCAGCTTACACCAATATATTCTTGTCCATTAGCGCATCTAAACTAGCATCCGAATAAGAGATGCTAGAATCTTTAGTGGTTATACCTATTTGCCACAAAAATAATAGCATTGAGCCGAATCAAAGCCAATGCCCATGCCATTTTCCAAAAAATATATATTTTTGACTGACTTCAAGATTTGGTTTTACCAAACAGCTTGGTCTTGGAACAAAGACTCAGCCACAAGCTTCATCGGGAAAAAGTCCTTATATTCCTTGAACCTCCTTCAAAGTGAGAACATCATCACGTGGAAGTGCTTCTTCCACTCGAACTTTTACTTCATCGCCAACCTGTACTCCGACAGATACCCAAACAGAAGCTTGTAATCCAACCTGAAAACAGTAAACAAACATTAGTTCAGTTAAGTTGCAAATGTAAGAATCCAGGTTTTACTTTTATTTTTGACAAATATAAAAACCTCTCTTGATTGATGACTTATCACAGTCCTAAACTCATTTATCATCAGTAGATCAACAAAACCAGTTTGCTTTTAATTAACACAAAGCAGAAATTCTCACTTTTATTTTTGACAAATATTAAAACCTCCCTTCATTGATGACTTATCACACTCCTAAACTCATTTATCATCAGTAGATTAACAAAACCAGTTTGCTTTTAATTGACACAAAGGTGAAATTCTATAGGAAATCTCAATTGTCTGCTTAATTCTGGAATAAATGGTCGGGAAGGGGAAATTTCAATAAGCAAATTCTTGCTGCTTGTAATTTTAAGCAATTGTCGTGTGATTACCTCCATCAAGAGTATTGCTACAACTCTATCTTTGATGAATCTGAGGACCAAAGCAGAAAAACTTCTCTCTTTTGGTTGCCTTCTCAAGTATTCTATTATCCAATATCGAAGACTGCTGTTGCAGAGCTTTCTTACTACCCGAGTATTCATGTTAATCATGGATGCCATCCCTTCCAGCTGACCCGCTGAGAAAGGAGGAGAGTCTCCCCTAAGAAAAGCTTTCACCTACATATGGGGAACGAATTAGCTTGCCGAACTCGTATGCAATGCTATGACATGTCATGATTTCTGGTGGGTATATGGATGGCAGATGAAAGCAATCCCATACAAGTGAACATGATTGAAATTAAACAAACTAGTCGGAGGTGTTTGATGCAAAGGCACATTGTAGGTTAAATGATTCATTAGATATTTCCCAAGTACAATTTCAAGGGGAAAACATACCAAGCACTGATAGCATGTCATGTACCAAGTTGTCAAACATCAAAGTAGATTAGTTTATATTTACCATGATATATCCAGAATTATTTGTAATTCATGAAAAACTACCTGATAGTGTGCAAGGAGATCCATATATCTTCGGATAGGAGATGTGAACTGAACATAACCAGGAAGTCCTAAAACCCCATGGCGTATAGGCTTCCTGAAATCCATTTCAGCAGCACGCATGGTTTTAACTATAGCAGAACTCCTTACAGGGCCTTCAGGCAGATGAGAAAATGCAGATATATCAATATTTGATTGAGGTTGGCCCCGGTAAGGTAAATGTATGTTATTACAAGAACCAAGAGTGGCTATAACTTCGCCACAAAGTATCATCATTTCAGTTACAAGCCGCATTGCAGGATCTGCCTGATTTTCCACATAAAGCTTGATCAAGGGTACCGGATCGACTGGATTAGTCACCTTGATTCTTGTTTCTATCGTGGATGTGTCTATTGCACCCTACACAAGGCATTTAGGCTCATATGCACACAATGTGAATGGCAAATAATGTGGTGTGATAATAGACATTCAGGAAGAAAGTTACTAGTAGGAGAGAAGTTAAACCATTCATGATAATGTAGGATACCAATAATTACTATACTACAGTAACCTTAAATCTGATGAAAAATCACTAGCATTGCTGCTATTGAAGCAGCAAAATGCACAAATACACAAGCCCAGATATCAGGTGACAGTTGCAAAGATTCAAATTTGCCATGGACCATATTTATGCTTGATGCATTTGTCGATGAAGAATGCACGGGTTGTAACATGTACAAGCATAATTGCAAACAACAGAAACAGATGTGTCAAGTGCCAGACAGACTATCCATAAGAGAAGGTACATGAGATAGGTGGAAAGTTGAATGGTAAGGTTACCATCAATTGAAAAATAGGACTTTCAACTGTGGAGCAAATTGAATTGCTGCAAATTTCAAATCGAGAGATCTTCTCTAACTCGCCAAACATGATAAAAAATTAATCAATCTAGATGAACTAGGAATCACCTTTAAAACAAAATCTTATATTTATTTTTGACAAGTTTGATTCACTATCATTACAAGCTACATGCAAGATACGGGCACAAAACCAGCTGGTAAACTACAGACATTAAACTACACTGTAATATGTTTCCAATATTGGAAAAATTTATCTGACCTGTCCCCGACGCCACTGTAACCGGAGCATAGCAGCCTCAGAAAGAAGTCTGAGTTCAACTTCCTCTTCTAGGTTCAGATGGAGAAGTTCAGATGCACTCTCGTATGTTAGCATATAAGTTGGTTTGATAATTGAGTTTTCCACTAGGTATTCTGCAATGCTATAAAGAGATAGAAGCAGCAAGTTTATTTTCAAAAACTTCCATTGCAAGCTATTATACATTCTTCCATGAAATAGAAAGGTACAAATAACATGAGACATGCTTCATAATTTTTATTCTAGATCAAAAGGATCAGAAACGAACAATCCTACATGAGGAATTCAGTAATATTCCACATCTATAAGAAATATTCCAAAAGAGGTCTTAGTTGCCGAGATATTTTGTAAAACATTCTACACATCATCAACTTCACAATGCAGTAGCATGGGTTAGTCTTTAAAACCACAAAGGCGAGGCCATTTTTTATTTTAACTTTCACACAATTAACTTATCCTACAATAAAACGTGGGGAACTTGGAAATAATTACAATGGAAAGGTTGAAATAGAGAAGGTGATGCAGAAAAAAGTCAGTTTCTGTTTTCATTCTAAATACAGTTTGAATTTCCTCAATGCTGAAAAATTTGTTTTCAAAATACTCCAGACAGACAGTAAGCCCCATGATTAGAACATATTGCCCTTCAAAGATGGCAGGTTCTCTGTAGAAAGTTCCCTCTATTAACATTGTCTACTGAACTATTAACTACTTACCTGCCATCAGAGTGCAGCACAACAGAAACTGTAACGGCATTACATGGCTTTCCTTGCTTCAAACTCATGCCTTCCATGGCCAGTTTCTCAGGAAACATAGGGTGAGTAGCAGTTGGTAAAAATACAGAAGTTGCCCTCTTCATTGCCTCTCTGCAGATCAAGAACTATATTAGATTATGCCTCAGAAGATTGGTTTTGGAAATAAATTTTCCATGAGCATCATATTTACTTGTCTATCATGCTCCCAGGTTGAATTAAGCTAGTCGGGTCTGCAACATGTATCCAAACCTTAATGCGGCCATCCTGTAGCCTTGTTGCACTCAATGCATCATCAAGCTGCATGTACATGTTCATCAGCAATTAGCAAACTGATAGTTCCTCTAGTATTAGATGCACATGGCCAATATGGTATCTCAAACACACATGTTCTCTGTGATAAAGTTTAAAAGCCTCTATTGATTACTACCTCGTCAGCTTCATCAACATCAATTGCGTACACCTTTAGGTGAGTCAAATCTATTCTGTCAACCTGAAAACAAAGAGAAGCATATAATCTTGCAGAAATAAGTATTGGATAACACAACATATTTATTCCAAAAATGCTACTTGACAGATTTTTTGTACAGACGGATTTACAGGTTCTGAGATGGCAGAATCTAATTGGCTCAAAACCAATGAAATCTTGCTAGCTGGCATGCTATCAACCAGGCTGTATTTACAGAATGTACATGTAGCATTGCTCTATTTAATCACATCATTCTGATTAAAAAAAAAGGCATAGAGAAAGGTTAACATACACATAGAAAACTT